CCGACGATCCCAAACAAAATTTCTAGGGGATCCTGGCTGAATTGAGATGTCGTGGTGTATCTGAAGCCATGTCCCGTGAGCTAATTCAACAGTGAACCCAAGGCCATCTGCTGTTGAGTCGCTCAAAAATCCACACTCCTTTTGCATGGGACTCTCAGGAAGACAAGAACTCAAGGAAGTCCTTCAAGAACTCCACTTCCTTAGACCCTGGATGTGGAGCTTTGCTGTGAAACGGGAAGTTGTGATCTTGATCAGGCAGTTGATAGTTCTGAAAGCATACAAATAGGCTTATATAGTGTGCTAGTCTTTCCCATTGCTGATACAAGTTAAGGTTGCTGCAATGGACAAATGAGATTTTCGTGCATTGCTCACTAATATTAACAATAATCTAAAGGAATGTAAATCGAGGATGTAGACTTACCAAATGCAGTTTCCCTCAGGAGTGCTTAGCATGTATTTTTCATTCTTATGTTGATTGGTTCATTAGATCAAAGAGCAGCAACCTAACTGGTGATCAGTAGCTTTTTTTCTTAGCTAAAGAATAACGTAGCATCAAAGTTGCTGCACAAGGACTCTAGGTTGTTTGGCAAGAAGTGGAAGCCATTGATAACGCAGCTCTGAAGAGTTGGAAGGCAAAGAACACCCTCATCTTCTCAAATCCATTTGGCTGAAGGTGCACAGGTGTAAGATGGCATCGCCTTCAGGGCGACGTTGCTCGAGTCTTTAATTCCATTACAGGCCGCAGAGACCTGAAATGGTAGTCATAACACATTGCATATACATTACCCTTTTCATGTAAAGACAAGCATGTTTAAGTGCGACTGCATAAATGCTTTTGAAAATAGCTTTTAAAAAATGACTTCGCGTCAGAATGGCCAGAAATGTGAGATCAGAAGCACCAAAACTGTAAAGTGCTTTTTTTGCAATCAAGTTATAACACCATGCCAAGAGTTCAATGGATACTTCAAAGTATTCTGGAGGCACTTCATTAAATGAGGAAAATCTGAAAGGAAATGTTATGCTGAGATGAATCAACAGGGTGCTCAAACCTACAGGTGACTTTCCCCGGCTTAATAACGCCGATTCTCAAGATCAAATTTGACGGTTTCGTAAAGCACTGTTGCAAGTGATGAAATTAAAAATGGGCCCACTTGCTTCAGCCAGGATTGTAGCTTCTATTAGAATTTTTGCAAGTACCTCTGCCTTTGCATTTCCACTGGTGGCAAACGCACCAATAATTTGAGTCCATTTTCCAGTGAATGGGACGAACATGATCATGCCATGGTCGCCGGCAACATTCTGTCACTTGTTTATAGAAGAGCCCATGTCGACAAAGCCTTCAATGTGTCCAGGAGGTGTTACAGTGAGGTGCTCAGCAGTGTCGTACCGGAACCGAACTGTTATTTTTAGCCGAACTGGAATAGACCTGAACCGAAATTTTTGCCACCATCTTGGAACTGAACCAAAAAAAATATAATGGTAACCGGTTCAGAACGGTTCATGGTAATGTTTTTTTTTTCTTTTTGACAGTATCACAATGAATATTTGAGAATAAAAAATTGCAGCTGTATTTCCATGCACCGATTATGTCGTCATATAAAGAATTGAAATGTGTGAGAAACTGGGTTTTCGTGGCGCTTTTGTATTGTTACTACGATTAATCATGTCGCGTGAAGTCGTGATGTCAAGACATATGCTGTCAAGTAATGTCACATTGCGTGGCCCCGTGACGTCAGCATAGAAGTACTGTTAACAAGTGACAAAAACATAACTGAATTAGCACCCCTAAGCAAAGGAGGGAGTCCCTCAGGAACAAAGTTATCCGAAGGAGCGACGAAAAAAGAAAAAAAAAGGGGGGGGCGGGTAGTTTTAGAAAAAATGATTGAGGTACACCCAAGCATTCCTTACGTCTTGTGAATGCAAAAGCATACAAGCCGTTCGTGCACTCCCTTTTTCGTCGCCGGTTGGCGCGTGCTCCCCTGGTGACCTTGGACGCTCCGAGCTGATGGACACGCAGCGCCATGGGGTGAGTGGTCGGGGAAACTGACAAGCGCAGCGTTTTCGCACTTCAGAGTGATGACGTTAGCTCGCTCCATGAGACAGTTAATGCTTTTGCATTAAAACATATTGTGCTGTAAAGGTTCCTCTACCCCACATCTTTGGTACAGACCCAGAAAGTGGAACCCTAAAAACTACTTTGTTTGCAAAAACACTCTTGCCAGAGAGCCAGTTTTCGTGGTGCCAGCCGCTCGTGCTGTTATTACGCTGCATCAAGGAAGAGTAATTTGCGTTTCTCAAATACGTGGCTTCAACTGAACACAAATCTTCTGCAGCGTGCATTTTGCACCACTGGATTTGATTTTTTTGGCAAGAACAAATTGCAACGTTCACCTGCATATAGTACAACGACGTCTCGTGCAAACCATGTTAAAGGCAGACGTACAGCCTCGGTTTTCTGAAGGGAAGATAATCCTTTTGGTGCTCCTTCTCTCCAAGCTGAGAGGGAAGTCAAGCTGGGGCAAGGTAAAAAGTGGAAAGGATATACCGTAAAATACCGGGCAAGTGCTTACTCAAGATTTAGAGATAATCACTAAAAAATGGGGGCTGGGCACTTATGCGGTCATCAATTTTACATATCAATGTACTGCGCAAATTTTCTCAAATCTTACATATTTGGGTATGGGTGTTTAGTGTGGTATGGGCAGATGCACAAAATTTTACAGTAGGAAAGGAGGAGACGTGCAAATGTGGAAAGCGCGAAGTATACGTTGGCCTTTAAACAGTTAAATTTCCTAGCGAGATGTAACGTTAGCAACACTAGCAAAAGCAGATGTCCAAATGGTAAAGTGCAATATATATAGCAGTCTCACGATGATATGCAGGAGCCTAATAAAATGTTAAGAGTGCATGACTATTAAAGCAGAGTAGGAACATGAATTCCCAACAAAAGTGCAGTTAAAACCGAACATAACGTTATCCTCCTGAGACAGTATTTTGCTAAGTTTCGAGTCCATGCATGGTGATGCCCAAATATAATTTATGTTAGGATTATAAGAATCTTTGTCGGTCCTTTGCACTATTTATGTGCAAATAGAAACATAATTAGATCTCTATGCATTTTTTCTTTTTGCAGTAAGGTGTTGTGTATGAGATTATTTAAGAGAATACCATTTATTCTCTCTCTTTCCGCACATTTCATGCATTTACTTTCCGACCTATCGTGTGACCACAAAGTCCTTTTTGGCGTACTCCGCGACCCAGTGTTTCACACTGTTAAACAGCAAACAAAAAAGTATATTTTTGCAGATAAGCTCTACAGCTGGAGTATTTTCGAGCGTCATCCTCCCAAGTCTATCTCAAGAGGCGTTTGAACTTTATACGGTCAAATTTATTGATGACAATAAAAACATATTTATTTATGGACTGAAGATCTGACAACATAAATAAAGGGCCAATCACCTTAAAGATATACATTATAAGTAAATGCACCTCCAAATTATCTGAAAGAGGCTCTGCAAATATTTTCTGGTGTTCATAACTGATTTGGAAGAGCCTTAAAACAAATTTTTGATTTGGAAGCTGATTTAAAGAAAAGTGTCAAACATATGGAAGTTTGTTACTGCCCCCTATGCGATGAAGATTAATTTTGTGTGTCTGTGAGCTAGAAAGAAACAAAGTACAAAGGGGCGCGTAACAGAACTATGGCGATCACGCACGCAGACCGTCAGAAAGTGACCAATTAAGTAGCTGCCATGTTGAGTAGACAATGTAATAGTTATATTTAACAAAAAATCATCAATTAGCAAGTACGGTGCTTGATCTGCACATTTCATGATTTTATGTACTGCAGTTCATTTCTCACTTCAAGAGCACAACTACGACTAAACTTTAAATACTGCGACGCAAAGTTGCACCAATCACAGGTATCTTGGGCGACATAACAGACTTTGTGACAAGCTTTCTATTCAGGTAAAACGTGTGACTGAGGTAAACAAATGAATGTTAAATCATATAAACAATGTTTTGCATCTTAATCTAGATTTTCTTTTACTGTTGTCGAAATTAAACAACGCAATTTCTTATTTCTGGTACTTGAAAATAAAAGTGGATTGTACAAATGATAAAGAACTACAGTAAAACCTCGTTATAACAAAACGGGATATAACGAACTAATGGATATAACAAAGCAATCATAATTCCCCTTGCTTGCTAATAGTGGGAAGAAATGGACATTGGCTATAACAAACTAATGGTTATAACGAAATAATTACGACCGCTCCTTCAACTTTGTTATAACGAGGTTTTACTGTACAGTAAAATACAGTAGTGCCCGCCCTACTTTCGGTGAAAACTGGGTTAACCTAGACATGGGCGCTTAACGCATAATTTATGGAATTCCCAAGTTTGGGAAATGTTAATACAGTGGAATCTCATTAATTTGAGCCTAAGGGGGACCAAAACTTCGTTTGAACGATGCAAAGTTTGAATTACTGGGAGTTTCCTACCTAGAAACACATAGGACAGGACCTGCATGTTAGTTTGAATTATCTTTGAGTTTGAATTAAGAGAGTCTGAGTTAACGAGATTCCACCGTAGAAGGCACTTGAACGAAGTGGGCGCTTTTGCGGTATTTCACGCTATATAGTTGCTTGTTTCACGGCGTAAACAGTGCCTTTTACCAAAACATGTGGAAAATTTATTTTAAATTTAGCACTTCTAGTTGGTTTGAAACATTATTTTAGCTCCCCAGAGCTGAATCGGAAGTCGTGAAACCGAACTAGAACTGATAAAAATTTAGGTTCGACACTCCGGTGCTCGGAGAGTTCTATCTCGTCCACCAAAGGCCACCACATCTTTTAAAGTTACTGATGCGTCTCGTCTTCTGCTTAAGCTAGTTCAGCACCTTGCGAAAACCAAACACACTTTTGTAAAGTCTGAGGTAGTGCTTCAATGTACTTTTGTTTGGTAGGGAAATGATGTCATGTTTGCGAAGATGCTCGTAAAGCGTGGAAATTTTCATTTTCATCAGGATACGTTTCACAACCCCGTTTTTTTTTAGCAGGTGGTTGCCCTTCAAGCTCCCCTTCTTTGCTGTCTAACACAGGGAGGCAAGGTTGCAATCCGTGCCAGTAGTGCTACGTCAAGGTTCGAAGCATTTTCATCTTGCATTTGCCCAAGCTGGGCTTGGAGGCTGACATGGCGAGACACCAGTCTTCAGTTGTTCTGCACAGTAACACTGTGCTTCTGGTGATGCTTCGGACGTGCTTCTTGACCGATCGCCGCACCCTTGACCGCCGCGTTAGAAGTGCCTTTCTCGGGTATCGGCAGGAGATGCATGCTTGTGCTGTGAAGTGAAAAGAAAAGAAAATTGGATATAAAAACTGCTTTTACCCTTAATAACAATACATCAGAAATAATTTACCATGTCAGATTAGAAGGGAAAACAACAACAAAAAAAAAACGTTCAGCCTTTCCCCTCTTGTGAAGAAAGAAGACCAGCGGAGCTGTACTCGATACACTGTGTGCTTCTTCTTCGTCGTCGTCTGTTTTTCGCGCTGTTTCCTACGATGAATTCTCACCAACGCGCCCAATTATCCATTCTTCTATTATAGCTGAAAGGTTGGCGCCGTCTACGAGCGACGGCGCAAACCATACTGGTTGTGTGCTTGCCGCCATCGCTTATAGATGGCGGTAGCTGTCCAGGTAGGTTTGTGTCGACATACCGGACACGATCCTGGGGAACCTAGCCCTTAACAGCTCCGCTGTAAAATGTTGACACAACATTTTTAGTTTTGCCCAAGTGGCACTGATACACACCTTCACTTGGCTCTTTTCCTCTGCAGCGGCTGGCGAAATATGTGCCCTCGCGGATGACCACTTGCCCTTCAGGGCCCCTTCGTAAGATCGGATCTTGGCATGTTGCTCGTCGGCAAAGCATCTCTGCAGGGACAATAGGAGTCGACGTCTCGGAGGAGCAGCTCCGCTTCCTCGCAGCTGACGCAATACACGAACCCGCCGAGATTCCGAGCTCGGCGACAGCTTCAGCACTCGGAGGGGACACACAGCGTGGAGTATTCTGGGGGCAGACCGGCTTCATCGAGTGCCCCGGTATCGGGCGCATCTGTCGACAACACGCTATCGGCTGCAGCCGGTATGGTGCTGCTGCAGGCATTTGCAGAGACAGTGCTCGGCATTTTTTTAGCGTCGGCGTTCTTTCGCTTGCCCGGGGGCCTTGGCTGCGACGCTTTCTTCGACCGGTGGCTCGGAACATTCGGAAGCAGCGTCGGCACGGCGCCCGGCAAGAGCTCCGCCCTTTTACGCGGCATGCGCACCTCTTCTCCGTTTATAATGTAAACGAAGTCATGCCTCACGAGCGATGGCTCGAAATGGAGCTCACACACCGAGCACGTTTCGTCCAGACGCTTATCCTTGCGACGCAAGTTTCGTTCCCAAACTTTTCTCAGCTCTTCATCCTTGGGCACTGAAAACAGCGACGGCTGCTTTTTACCCCACTCATAACCCGTTCGGCAGCCTGGAGCGAAGCAGTGGCGTTGTCGTCGTCGATTCGACATTGCACCTCATTCGACGCAATGGACAGAAAACACTGGGAAATATTAGTTAAGAACTGGAGCCAGTTCGCGCTGTCAAACCACCATGCCAAGCCACCAAAGCCGAAGGCCCTCGGGCCCTCGAAACTCTCCGAGTTCTTGGAGCTGGTCGGATGGGCGGATGGGTCGGTGAAGGCAAGAGGATGGAGGAAAGTACTTGACGGCAGTTGGCGTTCGATTTACCTGCACCATCCACACGTAAAGTCCGTCCTACACCTTCCTCCTGCACCTCCTGCACCGGAACAGTGCAAAAAAGTGTAGGGCAGTGTACTTGACTTCCGGGAGATACAACCGGAAGTACACTTTTCTTCACTGGTGCAGAAAAATGGGTGGAGAAATTTGGCAGAGAAATCTGGATATTTTTGTAAATATTTGTAGGTAGAATTTAATATTATCTTTCTCAAAGTTTGCGTCAATTTGCAGCTTTCGTCTTTGGATAGGGTCCACCGCGTCCACCGGGTCCACCACTGATCTTGTGGGGTCCATAGAGTTATTACAATAAACGCTAGAGGCTCAGCTGGCGCTAGTGTCTATGGGACTTCCGGTTGCAAATTGAAGCAGACAGCATGCAGTCTACTTTTCCAGTCCTCCTGTGTATTCCTATAGAAAAACGCGCGTGAATTTTGTCTCGTCGCCGGAAAATAATATGAATAACTTTTGTTACTTCGGTTGTACCGGACAGTATGCACCTTTATTACTATTGTGAAAGTGTAATCGCTTTAGTTACAGCATTTTTCTTTTACCACTGAACGATGTTAAACTTCGCTATATTCCAGGACCAAACCTCTGTTCCATGGCAGGTATGTAGAAACGACCGACGATTTTAGGCAAAATAACGATCGAAATGAATGTAGAGTGTGTTAAAAGTCCGCCAGCATTCCGTTGGTGCTTATATATTGCTAATATGCCTGTCCTCTCACTATAAGAAAATGACCACGTCGTGCATCTTTACGAGTGGCTGAAAAAACGTTCGAAACGTAAAGAATAAAGTACGTGGGCTTCTTATTATTTCCTATGTCGGGCAGTTTTTATCGCGCACCTGTTCTCTGACTTTCCCCTATTTTCAAAGATTTGGAGCGCGCTGGTGATGATTTGAGCACAGAACAAGCATCTTCGCACATATTCATGAGCAGGAAGAATAAAGCAGTACTTATTTATTGCAAATCGGACTATATTACGTGACTTTCAATTTATTTTGATCGTCTGCAAGCACAAGGAGTTACTTATTATCCAGTATTACTGCGTAGTTCTTGTCGTCTCTCTTGGTTTTCCACATGTCCTTCGTTCGTTTGGCACGTATATCCCCCATGATGGAAAGCGCCGACGCCGTGTTCGCGCTAACAGTGTCCGACAGTGCACATAAATTCATGTACCAAACAGTTTTAGCACCGTTTTTCATGCCACGATTATAAAATAAAAACGCCATAACTGACCAATTATTTCACCTGCGTGACTGGGAAATCTTCTAATGTGCCTAGTAGGTATGAATTGTTCGTAATATTTGCTCTTATAATCGAGCGCAGAGAGGAAATGTACCCGCTTTTTTCCATAGGAATACATTACCGGAAGTCAATTTCGGACTGCTTGCTGTCTGCTTCAATTTGCAACAGCACACTAGCGCCAGTTGAACCTCTAGCGTACATTATAATAACTCTATGGTGGGGTCATGGAGAATAGAAGGGTAGGAGAGGGCATGACGTCAGCCGCGTAGCCTCCACAAGCCATGCTCCCTTGACGCCTCGCCTCTTTCTCATTTTCCTCCTTACTCTCCTCACTTACCATGCCAACGTGACCACATCACGTGACAGTAGCTAGGCTTCGTCTTGCTATGGGGTACTAGAATACACCACAGTCTAGCCTTCGATCTGATAAAACCAACCGGACGGAGCGCGCGCAAGCATGCAAGGAGTCCTTCTGCAATCAACCATCCATCTCACACGTGACATGTCACGCGCACCAATCGCCAGAGAGATCTGCGGTCACGCTGGGCACACAATCGTTTAAACTTTTTATGACTAGGCTTCACCAATATTGCAACGTGCCCCCTCCTAGTACTTCTAACCTCCTTGTGTGGGGTCCACTTTCGGCAGCCATGTCTGGGAACCTAAAACCATTTCCGGTTCGTGTTTTAACATCAGCGCTGTTTCGTGTGTTCCGCAATGGACCTTTTCCACATACCGACGGCACCAGGCGGTGGCTGCACGAACTAAAAATCGAGGAAGTGACCTACCTGCGCTACCAATCGATAATGGGAGCTACGCTACCAGTTTCTTCGCTCTCTGAGCAGCGGCGCCTGCCATTAAAAAGGGGCATCCGTGGCGTTCACCCAAACGTCGTGTTTTTCTTTCTGTCGACGTTCTTTTTTTTGTGTAACACAATTATATATGTGCTGCAGTTACGTGTTCTACTCGCTGATATACAGCCTCCTTCCAAATTTCCTCGATTTTTCGTTCCGACTTCCGCCGCTTGGCATCGGGCGCTCGCGCGTGCGCAGAACGCTTCTCGGAAAAGGTCCATTCATTTTCTACAATTTAGTTTTAACCGGAAAAGGTTACTTTTACTTCCAGTCGCACCGTGAAGTCGTGGCGAAAAAGTGGAACGACAGTGTCTCTCGAAACCTGTCCGCATGTATGGGATATACGGGTGCCATCACGACGTTTTGGTTTAATGTGCGCATCATCGATCGGAACATAAAGTCCGAAATGCCCCATGACTTCGCCATGTACGAGCGTGTTTTCAAACTCGTTGTAAGGAAGACTGACTTGATGAAAGCTCTGCACCTTGCGTTGAGCTTCAAAACGTCGCAGCGTGTCTCTTTTGGCGGTCACAATTGGTTGATTGGCCGATTATGGCTCAGGCAGCGCTTCATCTCGTCAGTCGGCCAGTGTCCAGTGTTAGCGTTGAGAGAGCATTCTCAAAGCTCAGGATCATATTAACAGGAAAGAAAGAGTGCGGATCAACGTAACAGGAAAGAAAGAGTGCAGAGCACGTAATCCTGATGCACAATTTTTGTTCAAGCGGCAATGTTTTTTTCTTTATTGAGCAAGTGTTATTAAACGTTCATGAAACGTTGTCTATTTTTTATTTTATTATTATTATTATTTTTTTTTTACTGTCGTTTTGGGTTGGTTGTTAGCTTAGGTCTCCATAGGTCTCTTAGTAATCGAGGTGTTTATTTTTTTTTTTCTATCAGTGCTGGTTTTTTTTTACCTTCAGTTTATGTCCCCAAAAGTTTGGCCTTATCGTGCCTTTTTGTAGATTGCCCCATTGGAAATCGGCCTCCTTCTTTGTGGACCCTATTTTGATGGTTTGAAGTGTCTTTATATTTTTGGGGTCAAAGCGTGTCTCAACTTAAGCTGAAACGAAGTTTATATCACAATAATGAAGTATGAGGAACATTTTGTATCCGATGTAAATAACAGTTGAACCGTTTCTTGTCTCGATTGTTTTCCATGAAATAACGCCGTTTAAAGCATCTGCACGAGACAATTCACCGAAATGCACCGGGATTTTGGAAAGAAATAAGCACCGAAAAACATCCGCCGATTTTTGACATAAATAAACACCGGAAAGTATACGGCCTACCATCGCCTGGGTTCTAGGATCTACAATAGCCTTTTGACGTCCGCGTCTGCAACCAAATATCATTCACGGGATGGCCGCGGTAGGTCGATGTTGTCAGAATCATAATATCTCCGCTCGACGTCAAAAACACGCTGCTTGTATTTTATTTCATTTATTATTATTATTATTATTATTATTACTACTATTAGTAGTAGTAGTAGTAGTAGTAGTAGTAGTAGTAGTAGTAGTAGTAGTATTTTGCTTAGAAGGAGCGGCGCACTTGTACTTTACACTGTGACAGCTTTGTACCAATCTTGACGATCTCTACTCGTTGTCGAAAACGCACCACTCGCTTCTTCCGGCCGCACGATCGAGCACGTCCGACAGGCGTAACGTAGTTTCGCTTTGGCCAGCTCGAACACTTACGGCGACGGCGCGCAGTTGACGATGCGATGCTGTTCTCACACACGCTCTTTCGTGCACGCTACCACCAAACAATTGCGTGTCTCAGTTGATTTGTGGGCGACCAACTTCTTCGATTGTCCCACGCGTTGCACGCGTACACAAGTTTCCACTGAGATGTTAGACTTTCGACACGGAGGGCAAATAAAACAAGATGCGGTGGTTTTAATCGATCTTACGTCCAGTTTTCGACATATCTTTTCTGATTTTCCGCCCAAAATTTCTCATTGAAACACACAAAAAGGCTGGTCAACCGGAAGCTACCTAGGCCACAGGAAGTTCAGCCATTACAAAAAGGCTGGTCCCAGCATGCACCGCTTCACGAATACAACCTATATCAATCTGTTGATTAGGTGGTGCAAGTTGCCGTCTTCTTGCAGCTCCATTACGCTCATTGAAAAATTAAGAAACGACATTGAAGTCTTCATGCAGCTGACGCTACGAGCAAATAGAACCAATCAAAAAAAAAAAAATAATGACATTTAAAAAAAATATTTTGTGTGCGTTATTACCCGGTTAATCCAAACAAGCACAGCCAGTGCGCCCATGGGCGTCCGCAGAGCTTTTTCCAGGGGGGGGGGGGGGGGGGGGGGGTCGCGTTGCAAGATGACTCCGTTAGCGGCTTGCACTGACGTGAGATCGCATACTTTTGACCATCATTTAAGAGGAGGAGACGGAAGCTGCTTTTGTAAGAATTTTGAATGCCGAATTTGCCCACAGCGACTTGTGTGCAAATTCGGGAGGCACAAAAGAGGATCATGGTAAGAGCGGAGCTCCTTCCCCTCTTTTCTGGTGGTCATCGAAGTGCTCTTTGAATGACATCACGTGCAAGGCATGTATAGCGACAGTTTCTGAAGCGCCGACTGCGTGATGGTACAGGTTTTAGGAAGTGAATGGCGGCGCACAGCAGAAAATTGAACTTATTGATGCCATTTTGTTCCAGCGGAGTTTGCTTTGTCATTTGTATTGGTTGGTTGCCTTTACTTGTAAAAAAAACAAGTATGAAAGGACTTTAGGCACGATGACTGCTCATTATTCCCGTGTGTTGGCAGAGTGGATTGTCCCGTGGGTCAGCGGCCCAGTTTTGCGCAACATATGTACCTCAACGAAAATAATCCCTGGAGAAGAGGAACAAAAGGGACAAAGAACAAACGGAAATCTCTAAACACAGCTTGGTGACTGGTGCGCGAC